CCATCCTGTACACATCTCCCCATCCTGTACACATCTCCCCATCCTGTACACATCTCCCCTTAGTCCCCGGGTGCAAACGTATCACAGCCTACTGCCGTGAACGTCCTACCGTGGAATATTACATTTGGAGGTTATAGACGGTCATCCTGATTTTATTTCGGATTTAGGCTCCGGTCTTGTTGATGCTGCAATCAGACATGGCGCAGAAAAGTATTAATCTGGTTCCTACTCTTTTTAGGTGTATTTATCCAACCTATGATTACACACACTGCCTGTGTGACTCAATCGAGAACATCTCTCACTCCCTGTGTACCAAAGAGTTTCAGGCCAGGTGAGGCATCACCCGCTCTGTGATGTTTTTTCATATATGTTAAACTGTAGGGATATTTTTGTCTCGGCAGTGAGAAATGGTGAAACCCCCATTCAAGACGGCACTTCCTGTTTCTGTTACCCTGTGTCACACAGGCGTTCCTCCTACTACTGGCTATGCAACGCCCTGGACGTGTATTGCCCTGTGCAGTGGGAATATGGCCGCCTTAACCTCACCTACACCGTTGTCTCCAAAAGGAAGATCATCAAGCTGGTGGAGACGGGGGCCGTCAGGTGCAGCAGATTCACCTCTGCGCTGCTCTGCTGTCTAAAATCACTCTTCACTCATTTGTCCATCATATCTGTCACACTAGGTTTTATAACTTTTGATATTACCAATCTCAGTGTATGAGATTCTGCACCTAAAACAGCCAGGACATTTTTAGTTCATATATTTAGTTGAATGTATTACTTACTACTGGAAGGAAAGAAATTACTGCAACCAATTTGCAACATTTGAAATATGTTGTAAGTTCACATACTTGTCTGGTCACAGCTGAATTTCAGTTTCTTAAGAACATATGAGTGATGTCCAGAACTGATATGAAAGATGGGAACCAGGCATTTTTCAAATGATCGGTATTGGCCACCACAGCCCAATCCTAAGCACAATCTATTAGCTGTGTCCATTTAATTTATGGAAGTTGTGCAGACTGTAAGGCTCTGTCACACGCTGCTGTAAGCCTGAGCCACATGGCTACAAACATACTATCAAGATGTCAGCTGTCTGGAAATAACTATTAGTTAAGTTCTCCCCAAACGAGTTTGATGGGCCGATTGGCTTCCTCTCGATTGTAAATTTCTTATGTTCTTACTTTACATTGGAAACTAAAAGTAGCCCAACAGCTACCTGCAGTATTTCGATTAGGAGGTTGCAGTGAAGTGTTGTTTAATACAATGGAGCTAATTAGGCACTTGCAGAAATATAAAAAGGAAGAACACTGCAAAATCTTACTCAGATGTAGAATGCACCGACGCCTGCTGAATCTGTATGTACATTTAAATATTAAAATATTGGATCAAAATCAGCAGATATTAGTATCAAATGGATTAGATCAGGGTACCTAAAGAGAGGATTGGGATATCCCTAAAGTGTATTAAATTTAAAATATGTTGTTAAACAACTAAGAAATTGAACTAGAAAACAATTCCACAAAGATTATTTGAAAAACATTGTATTTACAAGTGAGCTCTTATTTTTTCCACAACTTTGGTGTATAATCATTGAGATCTATATTATAAAAATATTTTTAAATATGCACATAAGAAGCGTAACATTCCTGGTAATGTGTTATACCAGTGTCCAAGCGGCAGGCTGAATGTGAATCTGACATTGCCCTCTAGGGACTGGGATGACCCGCGTCTTTTCACACTGACCGCTTTGAGGAGGAGGGGCTTCCCTTCACAGGCCATCAACAACTTTTGTGCACGGGTGAGGGGTCGTGCTGTCGGTGTGGTGGAGGCCCAGAACAACCCCGCAGAGTGCCGTTAGCGTGACACTGGTTTTCACCACACCAGGTTGGCGTGACCGTTGCCCAGACAACAATGGAGCCTCACATGTTGGAGGCCTGCGTGAGGGACGTGCTCAACGACACGGCCCCACGTGTCATGGCCGTGCTTGAGCCGCTCAAGGTCACCATCACGAACCTGCCCCATGACATGGAGGTACTGACCTAGGGCGCCTCGCTTTCAAAGTGTCTGTGTGTGTGTGTGTGTGTGTTTAATCACACTTTTCTTTCAAACGTATCAGACTCAGATTCGGGTCCCAGATTTCCCAGCCGATGAGGCGCGAGGCAGTCACACCGTTCCTTTCACACGTACCATCTACATCGAGCGCGCCGACTTCAGAGAGGTCAGGCCTCGTGCCGGTAGCAAAATGCATGTCAGCGATCAATATTGTAACCACTTATGTGACGCAGTGTAACAGTTTAATGCTAATACACTAACAACCACTGTCCTTCCCCTACAGGTAATGGAGAAGGGCTACAAGCGACTGACCCCTGATCAGCCAGTGGGTCTCAGGCATGCTGGCTATGTCATCACCCTCCAGCGGGCCATTAAGGTAAGATCAGTACCTCATCTGCTGTAATAAACCCGACCGTCTCCATGGGAAACCTCTTCCTCCATTGTGATTCTGTCTCTAGGATGAAAATGGAAAGGTGGTAGAGCTGGAGGTCACTTGCTCGAGCACGGTCACAGCCGAGAAGCCCAAAGCCTTCGTTCACTGGGTCAGCCGGCCTCTGCAGTGTGAAGTCCGCCTGTATGAGCGCCTGTGAGTGAAGGGAAGCGTGCACCTGCCGACGGGGAGGGAGAAGCATGCCAGTGTACAAGTGCTTGATAACGATTGCTAGTGCTTCTGTGCTCATGTCTGACTGCCTGTCCTCACAGATTTCTGCATAGTCACCCGGAAGATCCACAAGTAGTGCCTGGGGGGTTTCTGAGCGACATCAACCCTGTAAGTGACTCGAGAGAGATCTCTTCATTTTCAATTTCAAATGAACAACAGGTGAATAGGAATAACAGCTTGGACTGTGTTGATAGTAGTCCAGTGTAGGTGGACTGCTTGCTTTATTCTGTGCTCTACTCCATATAATCAAGACTCAATTTATCCAACCTCTTGACTTGTAATAAAGATGAATAAAATATTCATTTTTAAAAAGTGATTTGACTGCCCTGGGTTCCCATATGCACCAGAATGAAGAGTTCCTGTATAAGTCTCTTTGGTCTCCCACTCTTTCTACCAGGATTCCCTGCAGGTGATTGACAATGCCATAGTGGATCGTTCAGTCAGTGGAGCGAAGGTGTTTGATAAGTTCCAGTTTGAGAGACTGGGCTACTTCTCCATGGACCCCGACAGCACCAAGGAGAAGGTGAGAGACTCAAAGCCACCACAGGGTGGAAATATTTGCAAGTGATGATGGTGGTAGATGGAATGAGCTAACCAACTCTGTCTACAGTAAGGAGTTATGTATGAGCTCTTTAGCAATATAAAAAAATAACTGAACTTGATCTCTGTCTCTCTCTAGCTGGTTTTCAACAGGACAGTGACACTGAAAGAAGATCCAGGAAAGATCTGATTTGGTACTTGTTGACATATCAGTCAAGACCTTTTTTTAGTTCCGGAACCTTTTTCTCCTGAATTTGTACTTTTTCTCTGGTCTGGAGTCTATGAGCCCAGTTACTGTCCCTGCCTTATATTTACTAATGTTGCATAGCGTTTAGCCACCTGGACACCTGGCAAGCTTGCATCTTTGAATTATGGTAATAAAATATAAATAAATATTGGTTTTGTTTTTAAATTATGAATTATGAATAATGTGGTGATTATGAAGAGGCAACCTACTCAAATGTGACCTCCCAACATTAAATATAATCCCCGGGTGTGAAGTGTATTAAGTTATTGGCTGAAATGTACAAGAAATCAACCTGAGATTGCAATGATGCCTGGTTAGCCAAAATTTTAACCAAAATTGTTTTATAATAATTTATCACTGTTCATTTGATTCACTGATCATAGTTTTTAAAAAAATCCAGTCATCCATCCATATGTTAGTACATTAGTTTGTCTCTCTAAAACTTGGGACCAATCTAGAGTTTAGGGCTGACTGTGGGAATTAACCTTTGCATGGCCATAGACGGCACATTTTCTGTGAAGGCTTAATTCGTTGAGTCATTCAGTAGATCTATCTCAGGTCCACCTTAAGAGAGCAATAGAGGTAGTGTGTTGCAAGATTGAAACGGGGGAGGAGGGCTCACTGACACATGCCTGGTTCTTTAAGGCAGACCGGGGCAGACAGAAGGCCTTTAAAGGTGCAGTTATGTGCTCTCTACTCTGCATTTCAGACGATTATGTTTTAGAGTATATTTCTTAAATACTAAAAACAACTTGGGTCGCTTTTTCCTTAATTGCACACAAAAAGCAAAAGGAAATTACTGAGAAACTTATTTTTAATAATAATGCGTATGTAGTTCGATGCGGGCCCCACTGCGTGTCAATCTAAATAAACAATGAAGACTAATGGTTAAGTATAATACTGATACGGGATTTGAGGGTATGATTATTTCCAATCTACAATGACGTGTGCTGTTGATGCTATAAGATAGCGCAGCGAGTCTTCTTTAACTCGGCATTTTAAGTCACCGTGAGTCCTCAGCGCTTGGCTGCTGTAGCCTCGCGAGAGATGGCGAGCGTTCCGAGTGTCACCGGATTGGCTGAGAGCGGCTGGTTGTAAGATGGCGCCCAGTGAGAGCTGAGTAGAAGTAAAAGGGGAAAATAATAATATAGAGAACTGCAAGAAACCTGTGGTACTGCCAGGCAAGAAATAATACGCAAAAAGAATTTGTTCTTTATTGCCACGAGAAAGCTGTGTCAACGTTGTAAATCGGCTGCACTGAACACCCAGTGGAAGTATACTGGAGCAGCCCAGGCCGAGGTGGAAAGAGGTAAGGGTTCGTAAAGGAACAAAAACACGGCGTTCTGTGCTTGGTGATCTGCGTGGCTGGCATTTCCTTTGCATATTTTCTCATTTTCAGGCCACATGTGTATATTCTGTGACGCGCCTGTGACTCTGGAGAGGAGAAGCGCGTTTACAGTTGTGTGAACGCGGCAGCGCGCATTACAGGTAGGGAGGGGGACCGCAGGCACGAGCCAAAGTGACAACTACGGGAACGGTGGATACGTGTGCACTCCAGTCGCCACCCCCATTCACTGTTATTATAGATAAATGATGCTGTAATAGATGTGGTCTGTGTTATGTGATGTCTAAATGTATACATTCACCCGCTTCTTGCATAAATAGTTAAAGCTATTGGATTTTCCGAGAGGTAAATATGCTGGGCCACAGCCTATATTTTGAACCGTAATCTGATATTAGATTACTCCCACATCCTTTAGATTTAAGGTATGTATTTTTATAAGATGCGTTAAGTTAGTTAACGGTTAATAGTTAACCAGTCACATGATGATGTAGGAGGAGCCAGCTATATTTGGTTGTTGCTGTAGTAAAGTCGAGTACAGTATTTACTTTGCGTATCGATTACTTGTAGAGAATTGTATTTGGACTTTGAGGTGACGCACTGAGCTGAGGTTTTGTGGCAGACGCCAAAATCAAGCTGATGCTATTGCAAGTCAGTCAGCTGTAAGCTGCACCTGCACTAAAAGGGATGCCCTTCCTTGACACCTCGAATCCAGCTGTCAAGCCCAGTACGGGCAGGTGGTGTACGTTTACATCTCTTTTACCACCTCATTGTTGTGAGTTCCAAGCACTTGATTTCCGCCTAGAAATACTAACTGATCCGTTGGAGTTTGCTGGTTAAGGCGCACTGCATCTTCAGTACTGTTAGTGGCAGAAATTATTAAATTGACACGATCCCAGAGTTAGAACGTTATTTTATAGAGTGTGACTCCTGTTCAACAGATATGACGTTAGGTTTTACAAATGCGTTTATTGTTACCGTGCCATTGACCGCCAGTTGCAACTTTTCCCTCAGACACGAAATCGAAAGAGTTAAAATGCCGTCTTTTGGTACCATGGTATGTAGACCGTTGTTGTTGTTGTCTGTTTTACAGTATAAGTAGATAGTTTCTGTCAGAACTCAAATGATCTGTCTCACGGATATTTTTCCATTGAATTAACTGAGATTGAACTTTATAGCGTTTTATTACTCTGCATTAAGAAAGGGAAGATGGTAATCACATACGTAATATGCAAGTCGAGCATTCCGTTTAGTGTGGTATTTATCCACGCACAATGTAATTCATTATGGAGTCGATTACCTGTATAATAGTCTTAAACGTTGAATTAATTACAGGCTGTTGTTGGGGAAGACTCCTCTGGCTTGAACCACGCGTAGTAATGTGCAAAGTGTTCAATTTTGACTGGAATGGCTTTTTCACTACATGTTGTGTAAAGCACATCAGGTGAAAAGGCAGTCACGTTTTATTATTCATACTCAATGGGAGTGAGATTGGTGTATATTGAACATATGCGTGTGGCTGCGTTTGACAGCCTCTTTAGTGCGTTTTGCAGTCTTTGTTTCGCGTCCATTACCTGCGCCTGTCTACAAGGCTGCAACGGGGACGCGCATCACTCTCCCCCTCCTCCTTTTAAGTGCTCCTCGCGCACGGAAACCGGACCGCGAGTCCGATAGGAGCGCGGCACGGAGATCGCGCCGCGATTCGAGGCTTCTTCCCTCCACAACGGCCTCCGAGTAGCAGGAAAGCTCGGAGGCTGGCTCGAAGGTTCTAATCTAGCAGGCCAGCTTTGTTACTTTCTCCGGCTACATCTTTGACCGGAAATGGCTTTTTGTTCTTTTTACGTATTTTCTTCTCGCTATTAGTGATACGTTGTATTATACGTAATTATTTTATCCAAAAAGACGTTGTGGCTGTGATATTTTGTTAAATAGATGATTAATAAATCCAGCGTCGGTTCGGAATGAGGTAGGAATGCGTTTTTCCCCGATGATACAGAGAGATAAGCAAACGGATCAAATCACATGACCGCGTTATACATATATGTACAGCTAACCAGTTATGATCTTTATAAATGCACAGAGACACATGGAGAGACTCATCGGTGACACACTGCTGTGTGGCGTTTTGTTGAAATGTTTGACTGTTTTTGAACGCCTAGTTTTGGCGCAACGGGCTGTTTCGCTGATATTTAAGGTAGCTTGGGGAGATGCGCACATAAGCGGATGGGCTGAAGACAAAAACGTGATTTTCAGAATTACGATTGCGGCGAATGCTTTAAAACAACAATAAATCGGGTAAAGCAGTAAAAAAAGAAGAAGCAGACCTTCACCAGGGAACAGTACATTTTACAGAGGCCAAAAGAAGGAGCAGAATTCCAGCTGTAAAATTCTTGTAGGTTCGTTTTTTAAAGGATGAAATGATTTTTTGAAATGTTGTGAAAAGTACGCGATCGATTTTTACGAATATACCTCAACTGATTGTGTATTCGGCATAGGGTACTTGACTCCTAAAGGGTTGCAGAAAATTAACAAAATAACCTTACTATATATGTATTTTTTAATATATATTTTTTAACCAGATAAACCCTACCAAGTTCCAGGAAGTAGTTGGCCAAGAAAAATTAATGAAGCAGCATTTGTTTTAGAACAATGCACAATGTGTCTGTGAGGCAGTTGTAAGTGGAATTGCCATACTGATGTATTTTCTCCTGTCGGTCCTGTCAGAATCTCACAGCTGCTTGGTTAGAAGGCTTGACTATCAATGGCCGTTACTTCGCTATGCCCACGGTGTGATTCCTGTCCATTATCTTTGGTACCTTGGTGTCACTGACAATCCCTTTGGCACACAAATTACATGCAGACCCCCGTCCCCCGTGTTGTGAGGTGTGCATGCATGTAGTTACGTTAATTGTCATGTCTAAATTGGCCATATTGTGTGAGTGACCAGGAGTTACCACCCCCACCCATGCCCTGTGTGACCCTGCTGAGCTTATGTGGTTGGAAAATGGATGGATGGTTTGAAGAATCAATAAATGGAACTGTGTTTAAACTGTGACTCTCAAGTATAACTTTAGGGAAAACAGTTTTTGTTACATTGAGACCAAATTGGCCTAATATAACCAAAAAAGACCACTGTGATTGAAACTCCTATGGCATAGCAAAAACTTCCATGGCATAGTAAGAAATAAATATTGTTACCTTTATTTGTACATTAAACTTGCATGTGTTAAATTGGATAGCTGAACTAGTGTTTATTAATGTGTAGATAATTAAATTTTACTTTTTTGAGTAGTATATGGGTTATACAGGAGTATCAGTTATGTTTCAAAATGTATGTAGTATGTTTTTTCTCCTGTACATAGAGGTGACTATATTAATGTGTTTTGGCTGTTACATATGTTATATGGCCAGTTGGTTTTTGGGGGTAGTTGAGCAATGGCAGATCTTGAGGATGCTTGTTTCATGCCAGCCTTCTGTCATCAGATCTCCCTCGGAGGAACGTGAGGAGCATCATCATGAACAACTCTGTGGACAACACAGTGTCGTTTGAGGAGTATGTGCGGCAGAAGGCCCGCAGCGTGCCGCAGCACCGCATGAAAGAGTTCCTGGAATCGCTGGCCAGCAAAGGTCCAGAGGCACTGCAGGAGTTCCAGCAAGGTGGCACCACCATGGTGTACCAGCAGGGGGCGAACTGCGTCTACACCGACAGCACAGAGGTGGCAGGGTCCTTGTTGGAGCTGGCCTGTCCTGTAAGAAAGTAGTATCTGTGCTGCTGTTTTGACCCCACCTCCTTGTTTTCTTTAACCAACTTGTGTGCCGTTTCTCATCTTGCCTTCACTGTGATTACAGTAAAACCTTGGATTGCAAGTAACTTGATCTGAGAGTGTTTTGCAAGACGAGCAAAAACTTTAAATAAATTTTAACTTGATAAACGAGCGAGGTCTTGCAATACGAAGCAGCTGTCATTCAATGGTAAAGTGCAGGTTAATTTGTTTTTATGTTTTTTTACTTTTATATTTTGTATTCATTTTTATATGAATATTTTTGGGTTGTGGAACGAATCTTCTAAGTTTCCATTATTTCTAATGGGAAAATTCGCTTTGAATACGAGTGCTTTGGATTACAAGCACGTTTCAGGAACGAATTATGCTTGCAAACCAAGGTACCACTGTATTTATTTTCTATTGAACAGTCATTCCACCTAATTGAAGAATAGTTAAGAATAAGCTCAAGATTGGTGAAAATTTTGAGTAGTGTAGAAGGCATGCAGACATTATGGCTTGAGATCTGGCTATGCTTCTCTAAGACTTTTATAGAGCTAAAGATGAAAACATGACTTGGCTCAAGTTCAAGTATAAAATGATTACTTGTTAATTTGAAACTACGTATTAGGAGTTTAAGCTCTGCTCCCTCTCCTTTAAGCTGATGTCATTAGGGGAAAAATGACTGCTGCTAAACTAGTGTTTCTGGGGGAGTTCCTCGACTCTGTTTTGTTGGTTTCCATGATGGGATTCAGCCTTTGTAGCTTTAACTTTGTATGTAGCATAATGATAAGCAGTATGGATTTCTTAAGAGCTGACCAGAAGGTCCTGGTTCAAGTCTCAGCGGGCTCTCAGATGATAAAGTGTGGTGTCCAGATATGACAACAGACGGAAATCTAAAAATCACCTTAGATAAAAACAGCCAAATAACACAAATGTAATAATGAAAGGGTTAATGCATGACAATGCACGTTTTTAACGCACAAGGAAAGAAATGTAAATCTATATTTTGCCATTATTTTATTAATTTAGCTCTCGGTATTCAGCTGTGTTATGAGTAAAAAGCGAGTTATCGTTTACTGCTTATTAAACCTGGATTTGTGTACCCGATCTTTTAGGCAGGTTACTCAAGACTGTGAAGTGACTGGGCTACAAGGGTGTTACATCAGTAAATCATATTGGTATTAAATCACTGACCACAGGTCCTGGTTTTCTGCATGAAGCACTGTTGTTGTCCAAGTGATTTGTAGCAATTTCTTTGTTTATATAGTTTTTATGGTTTTTAAGTTCTATGTCTGAAATTTCAAGTAATGTCAATTAGAATTAAAGAATATAATCATGCATTGATTTACTATGACTTGCCTGGCTGGCACTACACCCTTCTGACCAATCAGGTTTGAGAATTCAACAACAGTGTAAGTGTAATATAAACCATACTGATTGCTTCCTGTATTGAAATGTTTTTGTTTTCTTTCTTGTGCATCTGTCACTGTTCATACAGGTGCAGGTACAGGTCCAACAGTCTCCACAGCAACCACAGCAACAGCAGCAGCAACAGGCGCAGCAGGTGACATCTGCACAGCTGTCCCCACAGCTGGCTGCTGCGGTGCACCAGGCCTCAGAGCAGCAGATACAAGTGCAGGTGTGTACCCCCGCTCACTACCTCTGTGTGTATATCTGCCTGTTCCCCATCCTCACCAGGGGTGTGTTCCACAAAGCAGGATTTCTCAGGTAGTTGGGTTAACTTAAGCAAGAAGTCATGATTGTCCAATAGGAATGCTCCTTTCTCTTACTGGATGATCATTGGTTCTAGCTTAGGTTAGCCCAGCTAACTGAGAGATCCTGCTTTGTGGAACATCGTGTAACCCCCAGTCATGTTCCTCCTAGAGGATATATGTATTGGCTTATTTAAATGTGAACTAGGCTGAATTGTTTTTTTTTGTGTGTTTTTATTGGCCTTGAAAACTGTTCATTGGCAGGGAGGCGGTGCTGCTGGCTCTGGAGCCTAAAGGCTGATTTATGCTTCTGCGTAGAATCTACACCATAGATGTGCCGTAGCCGGGTTCCCATAGCCTAACGTGTGCCTCTCCCAAAAATGTAACTACATGTCCTGGCAACGCATAACGCAACAACTGTGATTGGTAGCTTCACACTTCTACCTACGCAAATGTTTTGTTCTTGTTTGTTTCCAGCTGTGGGGATTTTTAGTGTTGGACAAGTTGTGTTTCGCTCATTACTGGCCTGCTGTTCTTGCCTCGGCTGCAACTCTTCACACTGGGCTGCACAATATTGGAAAATTTCACATATTGTGACATGATTATTTTGGGATACATATTGTGATGTCTATGAAGCAAAAAAGGAGTTCAAAATAAATTGCTCTTAAACCAATCTGAGTGATTTAAACAGAAAGGGGGAAAAATGATTGGCTCGGAGAGCATATGCTAACATGTATTAGATAATCTTGAAATGGAACGATGATTCAAATTGAAGAACTTTCTAAATTTTGTTTTTCATGTAACTTAAACCCCCTGTGCTCATCCCCCTAGTGTTCTGGCTGTGTAATTGCAGAGCAACACAGACACACCAGCACACAGTTATAAATGCTCGCAGTGGCTTAGGCTGCAGTGTGAGCTCTGTAGACTTAAAGCATTGATCAGCCTTAACTCTAATCTTAGCGCTTCAAGTCCTGATGCCCCCTCCTCGCCCCTAAACATCTTCCACCTCATTCACCCCACAGGTGCAGATCCAGGGGCAGCAGCAGGCGCAGGCAGTGGGACAGGTGCTCCAGGTGCCCAGCCCCACCCAGCAGCAGCTGGCCGGCTCCCAGCTGCAGACGGTGGCTGCCGGCCAGCTGGTGCAACATGGCGAGATCACAGAGGAGCAGCTGCAGCAGCACCAGCAGGTCCGTACCGGGGCACCTGCCCCGTGTCACCCCACATAGCCAAATCCCTCGGACCACCATGCCGATCAGGGGAAATCCCTTGTGCTTCCGCTGCAGATCCAGGCCCAATTGGTGACTGTGGCCGGCGGACAGCAGATCCAGATTCAGACCGTGGGGCCGCTGTCGCCCCAGCAACAGCAGGGCTCCCCGCGGGAGGGGGAGCGGCGCTCTGGGGCGGGGGGCGTCCTACAGCCCGCCAAAAAGCGGAAGGTGGACATGCCCATCACGGTGTCTTACGCCATCCCCGGGCAGCAGCTGGCCACCGTGCTGGCCATCCCACAGGGCCAGGGCCAGCAGCAGAGCTACCTGTCCCTGCGGCCCGACCTGCTGACAGTGGACAGCACCCACCTGTACAGCGCCACCGGCACCATCACCAGCCCCACGGGCGAGACCTGGACTATCCCCGTGTACTCAGCACCGGCACGTGCCGACCTGCAGCAGCAGAGCATCACGCACATCGCCATACCGCAGGAAGCCTATAGCGCCGTCCATGTGGCTGGCTCCCCTGCCGACGACAAGGACAAGATGTTGGTGGCCGGCAAGCTGGCCATCGGCACGGCGCCGGGGGCGGCCCCTGTGACCACGACGACGGCCACCACGCAGGAGGAGGTGGTCCAGACACTGGCCAACACCCTGTTCCCGGCGCAGTTCATGAACGGGAACATCCACATTCCTGTTGCCGTGCAGACAGTGGCCGGGGCCTACCCCAGTGCGACGCAGTCCGTCCACATCTGGGACCCCCAGCAGCAGGTGGTGCAGGCCCAGGGGGTGGCCGGACAGGAGCAGCAACAACTACAGGTCTGTCTCAGCGCTGGCAGGAGGGGGGGGGAGTACCTGAAAGCAAGGCAGAGGGAGGGCATAGCAGGTTACTTGTAGTAGTGTCTCCCGACCCAGTCCTTGGGGACCCCCAAACCGTCCCCTCCAGGCCCTCCTTGGGCTTCAGGGAGCTGGGTGAGAGCAAAAACGCGGACTGGCTGGGGATCACCGAGGACCGGCCGGAGAAATACCATGTTAAGGGAGATGGTGCAAGGCCCGGCTCTCCGGGGTGACATACTGGTCTGTACTCTCCTGCTCCTGCAGACTCAGACAGTCCAGCTGGCCGAGGTGGAGACGCAGCCACAGGCCCCCCCTACACTGCTCCTCCCCAACTCCCTGAAGCCCGAGGAGGGCTTGGAGGTGTGGCGCCTGTGGGCACAGAGCAAGAACGCGGACCTGGAGAAGGACGGCCAGAGCCGGCTGGCCCCCATCGGCCGTGAGTCTGGACTGCGCCGCAGCGGCTGCCACTTTAGCCGTTTATCATGGCCCTTCTGCGAGAGGCTAAGCGTGCACTTGTGTGCCTGCAGGACGGCAGCCTCTGCGCTTCCAGGAGGACCTGGTGTCCTGTGCCGTGGCCGAGCTCAACATCGGCCTGTCGCTGATGACCCAGGAGGCCCGGGGGCTGGAGGGCGAGCCTTTCGATCCAGATGTGCTCTACTACATCTTCCTCTGTATACAGAAGGTCTGCGACATCACATATGTTTCTAATGAGCCATTTGCCTCATTTGTACATCGCTTTGGACTAATGCGTCTACGAAATTAAAGTAATGTACATGAGCAGCGCACTGTTCAGAGTGTTTTTGTAATGATGGAGGGCGTATCAGGGCACAGAGGTTCCTTGTGTATATTTTCAGTGTGGATACATTGACCTGGCTTGCAGATTAGGAGGCTGGTATGTTTCACATCTGTTGTCGTCACTCACCTCTTCGCTGCCTGTTCTTCCTCAGTACCTGTTTGAAAATGGCCGGGTGGACGACATCTTCTCAGACCAGTACTACCTACGTTTTTCCCAGTGGCTGCACCGCGTTCTGGATGGCTGGAAACCAAGCGTACATCCACTGGGTAGGTGCCCTTCCTGGTCCTGACGCGCGCCGGCGTGGCTCACCGTCACGGCTGTGGAGTCATGGTGTCACTGTTACGTGTTAGCAGGTTACATCATCCCGAGTCATGTGACGGAGGAGATGCTGTGGGAGTGTAAACAGCTGGGCGCTCACTCGCCTGCCACTCTGCTCACCACGCTCATGTTCTTCAACACTAAGTGAGTTTCTCCGCTGCATGGGGGGGTTAGGGTTAGGGTTCCTCAGCGGCCCGGGCGGCTCGTGTACTTGAGGGAGCACGGCGGTGTGGCCGGGTCCCATGTAACCTCTGAATCCCGCAGGTACTTCCAATTGAAGACGGTGGAGCAGCACATGAAGGTGGCATTCTCCAAGGTTCTTCGGCACACCAAGAAGAACCCGTCAAACCCCAAGGACAAAAGCACCAGCATCCGCTACCTGAAAGGTGTGGGGCTGCATCACGTGGGCCAGAAAGGTAGGAGGGGGTGTGATCGCCTCACTGCAGCAGGGCAGTCGGCCGGCACACAGTGACTTCTGACCCCTCTTACAGTGACAGACGACATGTACGCCGAGCAGGCAGAGCACCCGGAGAACCCGCTGCGCTGCCCCATCAAGCTGTACGACTTCTACCTCTTCAAGTGGTGAGTCGGAGCCCCTGGCACTGTGTGGAGTACTGCTGCCTGCCAAAGGCTGGCCAGGGCGGGGTCTGTGAACTTGCCAGCCCCTTCCCCACCTCTCTCTGACCTTTGACTTCTGGAAGTTGTACAAATGTGCGCTCGAGCAGATACAGAGCAAAATTAAAAGCAGTCATTTTACATAATATGTCCTGTAACAGCACACGTAGGTTTTGCATGATCTGATTCATGTGTCACCCCTGAATGCTAAAGCTAAGTGGTACTGCATGCCTGACTGACCTTTCATTCTCACCTCTCTGTATCTCTCTCCTCCCCCCTCCACCTTCCTCCTTGGCTCCCGACCTGCCGGCCTCAGTCCCCAGAGCGTAAAGGGCCGCAACGACACCTTTTACCTAACGCCTGAACCGGTGGTGGCACCCAACAGTCCCATATGGTACTCTACCCAGCCAATCACGCGGGAGCAACTGGAGCACATGCTCACGCGCATTCTCATGGTGCGAGAGATCCAGGATGTCGTCGCCCTGACATCGGGAAGCATTCACTAAGCAGGAGGGTGAAGCAGCCCCAGCCAAATCAGGGCTTGACGTGGACCGTGATCTGCCCCTCTGTTTCGTTTTCTCTCTTCGTTTATCACTGCCCTCGTTCCTGCTCTCCGACAGTTGCCGGCTGAGCGCCCGTCCCCAGACTCCGCACCGAATCGGCTTCTCTTCCCGAGAAGCAGAACCATGGGAGAGCAGTTGCCTGTGTCATTTGTCACTTCTTTTTTTATGATGTATTTTTTTTTATGCATAAAAGCATATTTTTTGATTATCCTCACGAAGCAGCCTTTCCTTATCGTTGTACTTAGCACACCTGTAACCCTCAGATGAACTGAGGTACGTTTTCCTGAAATGAGCCCCCCCCCCCCCCATGTTTTGTTCTTGTGATTTTTAATTTCTTTCGTTATTGGTACATGTATCTCTGAAGCATTACTGCCCTGATTTTGACTCACTACATTTGGAGCAGGTGTTTCCCGGTTCTGTCTCTCTTTGGCTCTGGCTGTCCCTCTGCTCCTCTGCTCCCTATTAGCCATGACTGTCTTGCTCTCGCCTGGGACGTCTCTCTTGCTCGGAGGCCAACCTCGCCTGTGGCAACCCCCCCCGCCGCAGCCGGGCCTGCTCCTCCCCCCGCTCGATGTACTCATAGGAAAAGGTTTGGGAGGCTCCACCAGGCTGCCCAGCCCGGCACGACCGCTCTCCTCACGTTCCTGACATGGGACAGGACCCCAGGCCTCTTTGTCTCCCGTCAGCTGTTAGAACGTCACCGCCAAAAATAAAAAAAAAAAGGACAGATCTGCCTTCTGTAAGGACTCTCCCAAGCTTGAGGGAGACCCCACTGAAGACTCACCAGGCGCAACTCGCAGACGAACAGTATGCGTGGATACAGAAGCTAAACGGCAAAAGACATTTGACTCCTTGCGTATATTTAATTATGTGGTGTGTATGTGTTCATACACACAGTCTTGCAACGAACACAGTTCTCTTGCGGATTCAGTGTGGCGAAGACCACCATCTTCCGAAACATATTGTAAAATAAACACACTTGTATTATATATAAACTGACAAAACGAACATTCTCTGGGTTTACTCTCCTTTTTGTTTTATTTTCCCGTCTCTATATTCTTCTATGTATCGGTATTGTAGTCGTTTATGGAAGATGGCAAACTGTGTGTTTTGAAACATGCCTTTTTTTACAGCTCGCTCTTGTGTGTGTGCTTCTTACTTGCGGCTTCTGGCGGCGGGAGTTCAGCTCTATCAATCACGGCGGTCCCTGTCCTGCTCTATCACGGCGGTCCCTGTCCTGCTCTGAGCTTTCTGCTTTTATGTGAAATGAGGAAAATCATATGCCATCCAGCCGTTTTGGGTGGTAGGAGAAACACGTTTGTTTTTTTTTTTTTATTTTGAGGTGTGACCATGGTATTATCCGTAACTTGCTTTAGCCTGTTTCACTAGTTTCACATCAAAGCCAGACTTTCAGCTAGTGCTTATGTTTGTGCTCATCTAAGCAGTTTGAGAAGCTGTGTCTTCTCCCCTGATGCATAGTGCCAGGCTTACCAGCGAATTCACCGGATTGTTTTGTAACAGCCAGTAGGCAGTAGTTCGGGATAGCTATGGGAACCATGCAAACATCACTCCTGTACAGCTATGTAGTCTGAAGTTCTTTTTTTAAGAAAAAAAAAATGTTGGCCTCTGCTGTGAGGTCAAAGTGCACATCTGCATTTGCTGTTGATATTTTAATGAAGGCCATTGTTTAAAATTTAAATGTAACATTTAACTTGTTTTGAAAAGCAGTTTGAAATATTTGACAGTGTTTTTCTAGCTGAAGGGAGCATCCACCCCCCCCCCCTGCTCAGCATGGTTACATTCCCAGCCCTGGCCTACAGCTACAGCGGATGGACAGAGTGGTACTTCTGTTCAGGCGATTTGGGGTTGACTTAAGTTTAATTTGGAGTTTAGTGTTCAGGGCCTGTGAACTATACGACGAAGTGATTGTAATAAAGAAAACCTTCAGGATCTAGTCTGACGGCCACATTTCAAAAGGCCCGGCCAGTGCCGGGTGCGGTGGCTCTGCATTCTCCCGGCGTCCTCTGTGCGGGTGACACGCCCGGGGACTTCGCTGTGGTATGCTGGGTGACGGCACCAACTGGCTGAACCCGACTTGCCGGATTGCTGCCCATCTGTATGGCCGCCATTTGCCTTCCGTATGTGTCAGTGAGGAAAAGCAAGGGCTCAAAACGTTCTCCGCTCTTACCAGTGCAATAGTCGCAGTGTTTCAGGGTTACACTCTGGCACAGACTGACCAGCCCACAAAGACTGCTATAAATTAATAATTTTAATTTTCAGTTTTCTTTGTCACATAAATGCATTGTTTTGCGTGTTATTGTGGTCTCGAACTTAGCTGTCAGTGTCCAGCATCTGGGCCACCATGAAATGTCGTAGTCTTTCATATTCCATGAATTCTGCGGTTCTCATATCCAACTGGTTATAAAATGATCCCATTATCTTTGGGAAAGAATGTGATTTTAGATGGCAGATTTCCGGCGGTTCATCTGCTTTGTAGCCCCATGTCGGCAGAGCGAGGTGGGACCTGCAGCCGCTCTACCGCCACCATGGAGCCGAGATCCCCGGCTGTAGCCTCCGCAGCAGGGGGGCGGGCAGCAGCCTGTGGATGACCGTCCCTCTGTCCCGTGGCCCCGATCGCTGCCTATCCGGCCTCCTGCCCTGGCACAGTTGTGGGGTCTCCCTGTCCTCATGTGTTCTGCGGCTGGTCTGCCCCCTTCTTAGAGATGAAATATGTCTCTGTCAGATGTCTGCCCTTTGGTACAGGTTGCCCACAGAACTATTTTAAAATTATTGACAAAAGTAGGTGCATTGAAAACCAAATATTAGGCTTGGTTGTTCATTTGCGAACTCCTTACAAATGGCCATTACGCAAACACTCTTTGACATGGAATAGTACTGTGTGTGTGTGTGTGTGTGTGTGTGTGTGTGTGTGTGAAAGTGTGAGTGAGTGTGAGTGGGTGTACCTTACCTTACCTTATGGGGACACAATGTTTCCTGGTCCCCATAAGGGAAAATTGCATTTAATAACAATCTGTGACTGCATTGAACAAACTAAAAATGCAAAAACTCTTCTATTTTGCTTGGTTACTTAAGGTTATGTTTAGCGTTAGCATTTTTCCCATAGAAATGAATGAGCGGTCCCCATAAAGATATGTTTACCTTACGTGTGTGTGTGTGTGTGTGTTTTCATAATCTTACCCACCTCGTCCCATTCCTGGTCACGTCCTCGGACATCCAGTGGAGGAGACAGGTATGGATAAATATGTACTGTTCCTGAGGGATATTGGGAATGGATTTGTTAATGACCAAACTGACTGGCACTCAATCCAACACCAGCATCTGTCTACATCCTCATCCCAAATGCAGGCAACTGGGAAGATGTGGAAAATTGTAATACAAGACACAGACTACTTTCCATTTAGCAGTGACCTGAGAATGCAGTTTGTTAGAAGCTCAGCAGGAGCTGGACGTCCCACCCAGTGCTCACCAGGCTTTGCACCATCATCATTCGGTGTCTCCGCAGGTTGTGCACCACCCCCCTCACATCCGGCCAGATGTTGCGGGAGCACAGCTGGAGTAACCAGAGCAGAGCCACGAACGTGCCGGACCGGCCCACACCAGCGCTGCAGTGGGAGCAAGGGACAGGTCAGGCTAAGCATCACCGGGCAGACGGAGCTACAGAGGGTACAGACCATGTAATCAGGCACCTGCAGTGGACCACGGCCGGGCCAGTGTGCGGTTCACTGTCGAGGTGCTGCCGGACCTGCAGCGTGAAGGCACACAGGGCTGCCCGGTCCTGGGGGACTCCCCGGTCTGGCCAGGCCCGGTAGTAGTAGTGGGTGATCTTCCTCTCTGTGGGGCAGCCTGCCTGAGACACACATTCAAGCAGCACAATCAGGCTCACGGATGACCAAGCGTCAGAGAAGCGGGATGGAAGTATTTTTTCTGTCAAAGTTAGATTGTTCTTTGGGCTGGAGCACTTTTACCAGCTTGACAGCAAGCTGGCCAGCCTCACTCAGCTTACATGCTGGGGAATTCTCCCGCTGGTCACATGGGCAGCCAGTCGGAGAGCAGATTGGGGTTCCTGCTCACCTGGGATAATTGGAGGATGGTGCTGGTGAAGTTTTTACAGTGGCGCTGGAACAGCGGGGTCACCTTCACCCTGCCGTACTGGGAGGCACAGTCCTGGGGCCAGTACTGCTCACACAGCACCTGAGGACACGCCTTTAGTGTAAGGTCGGAGGGGATGGCCAAAACACTGGAATCACAGTGAAGAACATAATACATACAACCCAGTTTGTATTGAGGCTCCAACATGGGGGAATAATCATTACTCTTTCTTTACTGGTTTTCGCTCCTATTTTTAGTGGCCCAGGGAAAGAACTTGATAGCATCTTCACAGCTACAGTGCTGCAGCTCATTCCCTGAGTTTGCAGCCCCACCATCGCAAAAAAAAAAAAAAACACACAAGCCCTGGCTCACCCTGTCGTTCTCCAGACAGTCAGTCACCATGACGATCACGGGCACGTTCTGTTCCCAAACCATGCGCCAGAAGTCGGCTTGCGTGCTGCGCAGTGGGCCCTGAGTGCAGATGAAGTCTCGCTCGGAGGTGCCCCCCTACATTGGCAGAGATGGAGGCCCACTCAGCAGGGGGCGCTAGAAGGCAGAGGGCCTGAGTCACAGCGGTCCGGTGGACTTACAGACACATAGCTGGCGTTGATGTAGTCAAGGTGCGAGTTCTGCTGCGCCAGCTTCACTCGACAGTGATCGTCTGAAATGAAGGCCGATCCGGAGGTGAGGGTGAGAGCTGCAGCTAGAACGGCCTGGCTGCTGTCCTGCTCTTAGCCATGTGCTGTGACACTTTCTCATACTGAGTTTCACGACAGACACTCACAGGGCAGGATGTGAGGATATCGGTTCTTCTCCCTATTGGCAGCCAGGTATCCAACCCTGGTGCTGAACTCACTGCCCACATCAGACAGCCGCTACAGACAGGCACAAAGAAATATGTACATATTGAGATAATGGAGAATACAGAGGGATGTGTATACAAACATGATGTGAAACATCAGTGCTGAGTGTAGCTCCCATAATATACCCGACTCTAATGGGAGGGCTTCTTACATGTGGCAAACCAGCTAATCCTTAAAACTGATTGTGTATCATAGAAGCAGAGGCACAGTGCTGGGGAGCAGCAATATATCCTATGTGTCTGTAAGTAATACAGAATATTCTTTACAAAATGTTTGGTGGCAGCCAGTCTGATCTTTTGTTGGACGAGCGCGACAATTATACTGCTCTCTTGTCATCGACACGAAAGACAAACTATGTAACAGAGCAGAAACGTGTGTAACTACTGCTGAAAGTCACAGAATATGATGTTTATGCCTTCCACCTCATAAAATACTAACAACCGTCTCCACTACTCAACAGTCTATAAATTCAGATTTTTCTAAGTATATATACACTCAAGATAAAGATTAGAATGATGATGTAATTAAGATGTGTATGAAGGAGCCCGATATGAGATGCTTGTCTGATGGCACCAAAGGGTGTTGTGAGCCTCCCAAACTCCTGTGTACTGCTGTGTACCTCAAACTCCAAGCAGTAGCCGGCATTGTCCTTGGCGGCCAGCAGCTGACAGTGGTGTTGGAAGTCCTGCAGAAGGTGTACATGCGACATTGCCCCTTCCCGTCCAAAGCAAGCACACTGTCAGAGCTCTGTAATTCAGAAACAGAACCAACACGGAGGGATTTTCTCTCAAAATTATGGGGCCATAAACTTTCTGAGGAGTAAATGATCTCATCCTTCCATCTTCTTCTCCTGGGTCAGGTGGCAGGAGGCCCCGGAGCCCATCCCTGGCAGCATAGGGCACAAGGCTGCAGTGTATATACCCAGTTAGATGTCAATTAGTCTAACTGCATGTCATGTCTTTAGGATGCAGGAGGATTCTGCGTGACACATTTTACACATACAGTACAGAGATGTAATTCAAACACCCAGGCAGTTGAATAAATTATTGCGAAATGATTTCAATATAGAAATGCAACTGTGCCAATAAATAATATTTCACATACTACTTTATGAAATTCAGTCCAATAAACCTTACCCTTCTGCCTGCACAGTCCCCACAACACAACCGCCAGATTGGTCCTCACCTCATGATATTGGGGTACAGAGTTCCTAATGAGGCTCCTAGGGCTCTGATACAAGTATGGAGGAGTCATATACTGTAGAGAAATGATGAGAAGCAGAGTCAGGGGCAGAAGATCAGCATTTACAGTACTAGTCAAAAGTTTGGGCACACCAAGCTGCCTACAAAGGAGAGTGATAGAGTCGCGTCACATGACCTGGCCACCTGACCTAAACGCAGTAGAAATGGTTTTGGAGAAGTTTCGCCAGAGAGTGATGGAAAAGCAGCCAATGAGAGCTCAGTATATATATGGGACCTCCTTCAGCACAGCTGGAAAAACATCCCAGGAGGCCGCCTTATGGAACTGGCCAGTCCCTGGAGCAATTGGGGTTAGGGGGCTTGTTCAAGGGTCCAGTGGGGGGATCACTCTGCTAACCCAGGGGTTTGAACCGGCAACCTTCTGAGTCCCAACCCACAGGATTGTCCCCCCACCCTTTTGGTCAGTGTATAATTCCATATATGTTATTTTATAGTTTAATGTATATAACTATTGTGAAATGTAGAGAATAGTACAAATAAACCTTTCTATGGGTAGCTGTGTCCAAGCTTTGAACTGGTACTATACATTTGCTGCCATAGTTCATAGGAGATTAGTTTCAGCGTTGATTTTGGGCTTCTCAGGTGAGCACTCTCAGCTTTACCTTACCTACCAGCCTCACGGTGCTATACTGGGAATCTGATTTGCCAGCTCCCATCCCATGTTCTCTCCACGTCAGCTAGTCCCAGCTTATCTGTCCATCAGATCCACTTCTACTGAACTTCAGGACCCAGACAAAAAGCCGTTCTAACTAATCTCTCTTCTTGCCTTTAACCTGTTTCGCAGGATTTAGAAGGACTTGATCATGACACCAAGCACATAATCTCTGAATAATTCTTGAGTCATTCCATTTTAATTCAATGAAGTTCCAAAAGGTGTTTTTTCATAACCCATTTTTCATTTTGATGAAATTTGGCATGTGAGTTACACGTATCTTCCAGAGCTCAGAAAGTTCCCTTGGAGATTTCTTCACTGTGGGTAGGAAGAGAAATAAATTTAAGCCACTATCAGCTACATGGCTCAGATATAGTTCGTTGGAATGCTTTCATGGTGAAATTTAACCTGCACAAGTCTGCAAAGTTCATCTCACAAATTAAATTTTTTACTAGTTTGGGTTATTAAAAAAGCGATGGGCTTACAGTAACAAGTCAACTTTTTATAATGAAATACGTATGTATGTGTACTGCTTGGTTATAGTATCCCCTTCAGGAGACATGAGATAAGCGCCACAAAAGTGTACAAGTTTTTATAAATGCTATTTTTTCAGCTCCCAAAAAGGCAGGTGGGGAAAGGTTAACATTTTCTCATTTACTTGGGAAAAAAGGATTCTTCACCTGCTTTCAAAAAAAAAAACAACAACATTGTTTTGTTATTGAAAAGGGTGTAGGAATTTCATCACTCGGAACTTATAACAACAATTACTGAAACTACACACTACTCTCACACTCATAATGTACTTTCACAAAAATAGCCTAAGGTAAACCTGAAGTGTGCTAAAATGTAGCCTGAAGTGTGTAAGGTGTTTTGGGGAATTTTTCAGAGAATTTCTCCTTTGTTTTGCAAGGTGAAATCCAGGCATATCACTGGTCAGGTTTGCAGGCCACATTGCACCAAACTTCTTGCCACCTGTGGCGTAGAAAAGGTGCTACGTTTCAAAGGGAAATAAAAAAAAATAAACAAAAACATTTCTGAGCTCTGGAAGATATGTATGACTCACATGTCGAATTTTATTAAAATTAAAAATGGTGACTCATTTGTTGAATTAGACCTATAATTAGACAATAATTAGACAATAATTTGAGGAACAGTGAACATTTAAGGTAGGAGATCACAGTTAGATCGCGGATAGATCATTGATAGATCAGCGACAATGGCAACATTCATCTCCTTTAAAAGAATGATCACAGCACCTGACAGACATGCTGCTTTGGCTCTGCTGATCCCAGAAAGCATTTTCAAGGTTAGAGTGACTCCTGAAACTGAAATTTTATCCTGACAACATAACACACCACAAAGAATAATCATAACGAAATGCTACATATTCATGTGGCATTCATACATACAGTAACAGCAGCTTTAGACAGATTGTCAAAGTAATTAATAATTTAAGTAATTAACTGACAAAGCAATTATCCATACAAGCTAATGAGCTGTACAAGCAAGTTAGTTGTATAAACTAATTAAGATTAAAAACAAATTTGACTTTTAGCAATATACCTGGCTTGTCTACGTTCCCCTTCCTAATGCCGGAGAACCTGCGCAGAGACGCACTCAACCAGCAGTTTCACTACCTGAAATGAGACAGACCGAAGGCATCCTCACAGGTTTCAGCTGTTTTGTCTTTAAACAAAAGCCACTGGAGAAATACAACAGAAATACTCCATGTTAAGCCCATACATGTCCGGAGAATGAAGTCACAGGCGTTGCTGTGCCAAAGAATGTCGTGCTAACCTCCCTTCATACCTCTCATGAAGAAACGGCTCGGGGGAAGAGGGAGGGGCAGCTTGTGACAGTGTGCACAGGGGGAGTGGTGAAGGACAGGTAAGAGGGAGGGGTAGGCAGTCATGTAAAATGCATACTTCAAGCTGTTTCCAGCTGGAACCGTAAAATGCTATTATTTTTTCTAATTTACTCTTTGATCCATGTCCTTCCACCTCAGCAATACTGAAATAAAAAGTAAAAGTGTCCATTGTATAATTTTGACCTCATTGATGGAGTTTTAAAGAAAAAAAATCAGACGTCAAGCATGTAGAATTATGTTTTTCATATTATTAATAGATGTAAAAAAAAATGCATATTCAATTGACAGTGCAAATACCAAATCAGCTATGTGTAGTTCTGTGTGGAGATCTGCTGCCCCCTAGCGTGCTTTTCTTTTGTGGATTAAACATTCTAGAATTTGAAATCCAGGGTTCTGGCACTGATCATTTAAAACACATGCAAGTGTCCACTAGCTGCTAAATATAAGGGTTTCTTCACCTATATGGGACAAAGCATAATGGGTATTAAGTAGAGTTCAAGAATCCTCCTCAGAATTGCTGCCTTTTGCCTTGATATCAGCTTCAAAAACACGGCGTCTTTGGTTTTAGCACAAGCTACCCAAATGTTAAATGTTAATGGATGTGTAACAATATTAACTCAATAGCTAAAGGTTAATGGATGTGAAATATTACTGGCTCATTGTCAATAGGTAAATGTTAAAAGATGTGCAACATTACTGACACAATAGCTAAATGCTACATGTTAATGGAGATGTAACAATACTGGCAGAATAGCTAAGTGTTAAACGTGTAACATTACCAACTCAATAGCTGTAGGTTGAAATATGTGTAAAACTACTGACTCAATTGCTAAATATTAATAGGGATGTAATATTACAGCTGGTCAGTTACCTTAACAACCCAAGCATAAAAAATAACCCCTCAAGCAATTATAGAAAGATAAAAGTACAACAACCTGTCCATAATTTTACTTTGACAATGTATAATGGAGCATATTATGCTCTTAGGTAACTGTTCAGCTGCTAAACTAAATTAACTTGCCTTTTCTATGTTACCAGTTATATAATCTTGTTTAAAGACTCCTTTAAATGAAGTTTGATCATGTTTACCCTGCAAATCACCAAAACAGGATTAATTTCAAATCACCAAAATAAAATTATGTTAAGCAGTTTTAATTTAAACAAGCAAAGGAAGTCAATAAATTGAGTTTATTTCATTAAGTGTGTTTATTGTACAAATATGTTCATTGCTTGCACTCGGTAAAGCAACCGTTGTGTAAATGTCGATAATCTGGAACACCATCATAGAAAAAGAAACCAAAGTAAATAATCCGTGTTTTAAATAGCACATCTACACCTACGCAAAGGCCTGTGGAGCCTCCAGTCACCGAGCATGAATTTCCTTTTTGGTCCTGGTTGAAATTACAGATGTGAACTTCACTGAACACCTGGAATGGAAAATGCAAAGTGAAAGAAAGCGATAGTACTGACAAAGAAATGTGAAGAATTTCAGTTCAACCCTAGTTATGCAACAAAATGATACCGACCCAGAAAGATACTTTAGAATTGCATCATAATTCTCACTTCAGCCTGACTTATATACAGAAAGAGACGAGACAGAAACAGCACAGACAGGGCAAGGCAGAGCGGCTCTGAACTCTGGTTCCCTCTCAGTAAGGAAGGAAGGAAAAATAAAACCCAGGGCAGAGAGCAGGTCCTCATTCACGCAGTTACTAGGAAGTGTGATACAGAGAAAGCAAAGGTAAGCTAAAACACTGAAGGAAAAAAAAACTAGATAGCAGACCTCGTATCCTTATGCTAAAGGCGTATAAGGGATTACACAGCGAAACCCTCCAAGGCTTAAAAAAATACAAATATGCAGACAAAACACTGGACAGCACATTTGAAGAAGTGTGAAGAAAACGTGCCGTCAGCTAAGGAGGGTGAGGCTCGGTCTTCAGAAAGCTGACTGACGCTGGCCAATGGCAACGCGAATATGAAGAAGGCTGTGCCTAAGATGGAGGCCGCAGGGCCATGGGGATCAACAGCACCCTCAGGAGGAATTGGTAAGAGGCCAGTTACACGCACTGAGAACGTAACGGCTGGACATGCTCGTGGCACAGCGAGCGATGAAATGCCGCAAATCAATTAAAACAAGCACCTTTGGATCTCCATGAAATCCCTTCTGACATACGTGAAAAGGCGTGCGTGAAAAGCTGCGGTTCGTTACATCTGGATTCTTTTGTTTTCTTTAGGTTTTTTCCATCCTCATATAGATACAAAATTCCACACTGGGTCTTTAGCTCTCAAATCACATCTGGATCTGGAAGCTTCTTCATCTCGATAAGTGGTCAAATTTGACAAATTTAATTTGTACATGCCTTTAACCAGAAAGATATATAGTTACACATCACCCATTTCATAGTCCTGTGAAACGTCAGCAATATAAAAATATATTTAACAATTTCATGATTTAAAGACATTTCAGTCCATATACATAAGTGCATATTACTATGTATAATACATACATCTTTACTTTTACATAGACCTGTTTTCCTTTACAGCAGGTCAATGTTTAAAATATGTCTGAATTTGAAAACTATGCACAGGACAAGGAGGCATTTGTAGGACTTACAGTATGTTTTTAAAAAGGGTCTATGTCCCTCACAGGAAACAGCCCATGTAGTAAAATGAGCAGCTGTTTGTTTAGTTTGTTTCCTAAGGTCATTTTGTCAAATCTGACCACTAACGAAGCATAACAACCCCCAGGATCATTAAAAAGAAAACATTTACTTAAAAAAAAAAAAAAAAAAAAAAAAACTTACACACATTCTGTACTTAAAGAATGTTGTTGTTAGGTATCAAACTCTACAGAGAAGTTCAAACAAACCATACTGCACTAAATGTTCCAATATTCAGTATTTATTTAATTTTTAAACAAATTACTTTGAGTTCCCAGAGAAACTGTATAGAACAAACCATATTTATCTCTGGAAATAACACTGTACATTTGTAAAAACCAATCCAAAAGTTTATTATACCAGATAAATAACTTCTGTGAACATTTCAGATGTCTTTACTTAAAGCCAAAGTGCTTAAGACAATCCTCTTTGATCACCGGGATTGACGATTGTCTTAATTGGAGCAAGAAAAGTTTCTACACGAATGCCATGCAAAAAATAAAAAATAAATAAAATAAAATACCCATGCCAGGTGAGTGTTGAAGAGTGCTTCGATGTGCGAGTTCACCATCAGATATACTCATAAATCCACGAACAACTGGCCTTTCAAATATTGCACATATTGCTTAAGAAGGGAACATCTGTTTTTGAGTTCGCTACATTAGCCATTTTAAAAATGGATCCTTGCCTGTCCAGGCTTATCTGGTGTAACTACGGAGCAACAGGGAGCCTTGGGTGATAAAGATCGATGTTGAAAAGAGGGAAGAGGAGGTGCAAACAATCTAAATATCCCAGAAAACAGGGACCTTTGGTCAAGCCACAAACGTAACGCATCATTAACACCACCGCCTGAAAATCCATCCACAGAGACATTCCAAAGACTTTATTCTGAGGAAGGGGGAAAGGATCCTGGGATTTTTAAACAGCCTAGCCAGCTTAGAGAAAAGATGGAAGGCATCCTCACAGGTTTCAGCTGTTTTGTCTTAGGAAGAGTATGAGGATACTAATCAAATTCACTGGCTAGGCTAAAGATGAGAAACCAACCAATTAAAATCATTATATTTTCACTCCCTACACAGGATTGTAGGTGGGCTGGTGTGACGACTGGCAGATCCAAAAGGGGGCATTAAAAGGCCAGGCTGCAGTAGGTGTGACTGTGTGTACGGACATAAACGGGAAGATGGGGGAAGACGGTGAAGCAATGGTGGCAGAGAGGTTATACGTGGAGTTGGGCGAGGTCGCCCGGGACTGCAGGGCGGGCGAGCGCGACCTGCCAGTGGGCACGTGGCCGGCAGCAGACCCTACGGTGGGCGAGTCCGAATTGACCTCGTCGCCCTCCTCAGAGTCCCACACTTCGCTCTGCAGGTAGTCGGCGAAGAGGGCCTTGGCGCGCTGCAGGATGCGGCCCAGGTGGTGGCGACGCACCAGCCGGTCGAAGTGCATGGCCAGCTCGTTGTAGTCCAGGCCATTCTTCACTATGTGATCTCGGTGCTCCAGCAGGATGGACAGGCACATGAAGAGCATGAAGGGGTTCCCCTTGCCGAACTCCTGCGGCGGGGGCAGCGAGGCCGGCTTGGTGGGGGCGTCCTCGGGCCGGGTGGCCGGGGGGGCGCTTGGAGGCGTGGCGGCCACTTTTGTGCACGTAGAGGGAATCATGCCATTAGAGAAGGGCTGGTTGGCTGTGGAGCTGGGCGGGGAGGGAGCCCTGCCGAACGACAGGATGGGGGAGGACAGCAGTGACCGGTTCGGGGTACACAAGAGTGACGGGGAGGGCCTCCCCGAGGGGGTCAGGGGCGAGGCTCCGGCCGCCGCGTTTGACGTTGGTAACGAAGCAGTGCAGCGTCCAGCAGACCGTTCCGGGGACAACGTGGCACCACTCGATAAAGAGGAGGGGGCGTGTTTCGAGGTGGGCACCGCTGGCGATGCCAGCCTACAGCCGGACACCGAGGGGGAAGTGGCTGGGGAGGGGGAAGGACTGTCCCTCCAGTTTGGCAAACATGGGGAAACTGGAGAGATTGGGGAGACTGGGGAGGCGGTTTGGCCATTCGGGGAGCTTCTCCCTTCGGTCTCGGAGGACGAGAGTTTATCGTCGCACCTGATAAGAGGCTCCCTCTCCGCGGAGTCGTCCTCGCTCTCCTCTGTGGGCTGCCGAGAGGCGGGAGCTGAGGGCGAGTGAGAGTCCTGCCACGGCCCGTGCGGCGGCACGTCATCATCCAGCTCGAAGCTGTCCTCGTGCCGGGCGCTGTAGTACTTAAACTCACCGAAGCTAAGCTGCTTCTCGAAAGGAGGCACCACTCTGCTCTCAGTTTCCCCGGCCACCTCAGCCGGTCCGTTTTCCCCTTCCGCCTCCCTCCTGGGGCCGCCCTCGTCGTCGCCAGAGCCCAGCCGCCCGTCGCCATCCGCCTCGTCCCGCGAGGGCCTCAGCATGTGGCGTCTGCGCTGCTGCTCCTTCTGCTCCCCCGCCTGCTCACCTCCGTCCCCCTCCTGCTCTGGAGCTCCGCCGCCCCCGTCGGCGTGGAAGGCATCCGTCTCCAGAGGTGGCCCCACCAGCTCTACCTCCGTCTCGGGAGGATCGGGGGGCAGGGAGCTCCAGGTGATCTCCAGCATCCTCAGGGCATCCTCGAACGCAAACTCACGCTTCAGCTCCAGCAGGAGCCAGCGGTAGCAGAAGAACAGGTCGTCGGCGCCTCGGGACACCAAGTAGGCATAGAACTCGGGGTCCGAATACTGCAGCAGCAGCTTCAGGTGCTGGAACTTGATGGACATGAGGCGGCCGTCCGGCTGGAAGTTCCCCTCCAGGCGCTTCATGATTCCGCAGAAACAGATGAAGGCGTGAGCCTCGTTGTCCATGACTGCCAAGATTGGGGAGGCGATGTCACTCATGCCCTGGCAGTAGGACACCTAAGAACAGGGAAAGCAAGTCAGCGGAGGAACACTGGAATGTTAAAAGGTTTTGAAGGACTAAAAGGCAGAAAAGGCAGAATGTTTACACTGTTCACACTGAAGGTACTCGGCAAACAAATATCTTTTTGCTTGTTCAGGTAAAGGCACCAAGCAAACAGATCAAAGAGTCCTGACGCAAACCCAAGTCAAATCAACGACTGAGTACTTTTCTGTACCTTTGACCTTGTATTACTTCTTCATTCCTCCGTTGCCCACGAACTCTGTAATATATTAGCATGCATTGTTTGCTCTACATTGGCAGCTATTTACATGATGCCTTCAAGATAAGAAAGTGGGGACGTGTGTCACTGCACAGAAATGACCAGGATGGCAAGTAATCGCTATTAATCCGGACAGAGATCTCCATCGCTAGATGGCTCAGACATAATTCAGCTATTTATATGATTATTGTTCTTCAGCATTATACAAGACATCTCATATATACAAATGACATGGCATTGAATTGTGTTTCTGGCATAACTGCATAAAAAAACATGCAATAAAAATACCAGACTGTCATCTTGGCAATGCGATTTACTGCCAAAGCAGCAGCTAATGGTTCTACTTTTCCCCTCTCTGAACACAGCAAACAATGACATCAGACTAGAAGACACTTTCAGCCGATTAACATTCAGACGGAAGCTGTTTGAATCCTGCAGCATGCTTTCCTAGGTTAATCATGCAATCTCCATGTGTTATCTGGGTAAAATAAATGCGAGCACCACAAACACTTGGAATAATTAATGAACAGCCGAATTACTAACTATTACTATTAACTGCCATTAATGAAACTACTACCAACTAAAAACTGATGCAAGTGTATGTATTAAAGTAAAGCTCATTGTAGATTTTCGCAAATAATGACATACTTGCATAATACATTCAAACTTACAGTCCTGGCAAGCCAAGATCGCAACCAAAGTAGAGCGATCAATAGTGCCAGTCACCTCAAAAACACAGTGGGTGTTTCTCAATACCAAAAATGGAAAGATCATACTTGTGATCTTGGCAAAAGCAGTTTTGATAACTTCCAGGAACAAACTTGGGGCGCAAGAATCATGGGATTGATCTTGCATGGGGAGGATGCGACTGATGCATCCTTGATATTTGCAAAGGGGCACATAAGAACATAAGAACATAAGAAATTTACAAACGAGAGGAGGCCATTCGGCCCATCAAGCTCGTTTGGAGAGAACTTAACTAATAGCTCAGAGTTGTTAAAATCTTATCTAGCTCTGATTTAAAGGAACCCATGGTTTTAGCTTCCACTACACTAGCAGGAAGACTATTCCATACTCTAACTACACGCTGTGTAAAGAAGTGCTTCCTCAAATTTGTTTTAAAATGTTCTCCCGCTAATTTCCACTTATGGCCACGAGTTCTAGTATTTAGACTAATATTGAAATAGCCATTTGGCTGAACAGCATCCAGACCCGTTAGAATCTTATAGACCTGAATCATATCCCCCATTAGTCTCCTTTGCTCAAGGCTAAACAGATTCAGTTCCGCTAACCTCTCCTCATAAGACATTCCTCTAAGACCAGGAGCATATATCATCTGGAGATTTTTACTGGATTTTTCCATTCTTAGTATTGGAACTGGTCTTTGGCAATGGAAGCTGACATAAAACAGGTACGAGAGAATACAAGGACAGTCAAGTACACATTGAGAAACACCCCATGCTTTTCACCACACATAGCAGGCCGATCTGCCTAATCAGCCAACCTCTGCCGTTGCACTCCCAACAATTGGTGCTGGGCTTTCGGGATGATAGGTCAATACACAGGTGTACCTGTGGGTGTGTGATGGCGTAGGTGGTGAGCAGGTCTGTGAGGGCCACCAGGTGCGGGCTGTCCTCCGAGCCGGCGTAGTAGGGATGGGCGCGGTCCGTCCGCAGAACGTCCTTCAGCACGTTGCCCCTGATGAACTCCAGGTCCTCTGGGTTCACCCGTGCCGGCCACTCCCCCTTCAGCCGGTCATACTCCCTCGTCTTCCTCTTCATGTAGTCCATCCTCTCCTGGCCCGTCAAGCCGTCGGGGTAAACATTGAGGAGGTACCGCCACACTACCTGCTTAGGGCATATGAGAGGGTCAGTGGTGAGGCTGCTGAGCGTCACGGTGCCCCCGTCACGGTGCCCCCGTCACGCTGCGTCGCTGGCTGGGCGCCGCACTGACCTTGCGAAGTGAGGGCTCCACCCCGCCATGGTAGATGCGCAGCCTGAGCTCCTCTGGCCGGGACAGCTGGCCCTGTCCGTTGAGGTAGCTGTGGAACTCTGCATCGCTCAAAGGAGTCTTGAAGGGCTTCACCTCCTCCCCGTAGGTCCAGCTTAGGGCCTGCTGCACGCGTGACAGCGTGCGGCCAACCTGAGGAAACCAACGCGGCCTTGTTAACCTCAGCAAGTGGCTGGCATGACACACAGGGGCTGGGAAGAAGCAGCTCACCTGCGACAGCAGTGACTGGGTGAAGGGGAGAGCGGCAGCAGCAAGAGACCTCCTCTCTGCAGGCAACAAATCGGAGCCAATCACGTCCTTCGGACTAATTATGTCCCAGTCTTCCAGCAGGGGGCCTAGTAAACAGAAAAAAAGATTACGTCGCATGGCATCGAAAGCCACAATAATACTCATATGTAACGCTCATGGTATGGTCATTAACGGGCTCTTACTATCTTCAGATGGCTTGATGTCCATCTTCAACTGCAAGTAGGGCTTTGCTGCACTGACAAATGCGGCATCCAGGTCCCAGTCTGACAGTAATGACAGGTACACCTCCACACCGCCACGGTCCCGCGATAGATAACTAATTCCAAAGTTACGCTTCCTAAAGGCAGAGCAGAAGATGGACAGGATTTATCAGCTAGTACCATTTATTGATATGATCAGTTTGAAACTGGAAGGTCTGTCCTTCCTTACAGCAAACTTTCTCCATCAGTGGCCTAAGAATGTATTGCATTTTTGTTCAGTTTAAAATGTAAAATGTATTAACATTAAAACATTTATTAAAATGTAAAATTTTAATGCAAATTTTAATGCCACATCCAAATATTTCCAAAGGAATTGAACGCAGTTTGCAATTTTCCCCATTTTTTAACCATTTTCAATTACTGTATTTCAAAGCACTTCATATTTCAGCCAGATGTTTGTTTCCATGACCAATTTGTGAATTGAATTCATAACAAATGGTTTTGTGAGCTCACCAAATTCAACTGTGAAACTAAACATGCAATACAATTGCATGTTTGACTGAACTGGAACTAGAAATAACTGGTCACTGGAGGAAAAACCATTTCCTGTGCACACCATGGTCTCATAAAATAAAATAAAAAAGGACTGATAATTACCAAAAAAAAAATAGTTTTGCTCACAAAGCAACACGTGGTGTCAGAGAATAAAAGGAGCCCATAGGATTATGTCAGGATAGGCAGTGTCATTTCTAAAACAGCAGATGTCGCTGTTGTTCAACTGCAATATGTAGCGTAAAAAATGATTTACTAGAATACTCTAATTATAAACCACTATACAAAAATCTCTAATGTCTTGATAAATATTTCAGGAATCTAACAGATGTTCAGATTGAATACTAAGGAAAAGATGGGAAACGTGTAGAACATGATGATGCATGTGTAAAGCTGAGCTGAACTCATTTGCATTCAAAATAACTTTTCAGTGCAATATACAAAGATGTTATTGAGCTCAAGAAGTGTTATTGAACTCAAAATGAATCATTTTGGTTCATTAAAATGCTTATAATCAATAAAAGTAACATGTTTATTGCCTTTATCTCTGTAAACCTCTAAATACACCTCCACAAAAATCTCTCAAGGTAAAAAAAGAAATCTGGAGTGACAGAATTCCAACACAAAGCGAGTGAAATCTAATCACCAGCCCAGCTGGCACAAACGTGCATAGACTGGGGCAGGGGAACTGGACCAGAACCATACAGATCACTTCAGGGTCAGACAAACCCCCCCAGTGGATAGATACCCAGAGAGCAGATTTATAACACACGTTTAATCATACAGGGGTAAAAAAAAAAAAAACACAAGACCAGTAAGAAAATGAGTTTAAAATATTTAAAATGCTGTTCAATATCATCACACTGCCTGAATTGCAGCACGTGAAAAGCATACAGCATATGACAATCAACCTCACTGAAATAACACGCAGTCCTTCCTGTCTTTGGCTGAAAACTGATCTGGTGAAAGTGCATGATATTCAGCTCTATCCCAGCATGCACCTTTATACCAGACTGTTAACAGAAATCATTTGCAGGCTAAACATAACCATTATCAAGTAAGTTATTACAGTCTGTCAATCTCCAAGGCCAATACAGTGCTTAAGATAATCTCAGTCCCCCTGCGTCGATATGCCCTCTACTCACCCATTCAGCTCAAAGGCCCGGATAAGGATGTGCTGCAGCACTTCCAGAGAAGTGATCTGGGGGTCAACAGCAAAGGAGCGAAACTCCACAGGCAGCATCCCCTCACACTTCTGCCAGACAGAACCAAAGTGGTAAGAAAACAGTCAAGAACCTCTCAGAATTATCTAAAACAGTGCCAGGAGTATATATGAATTCCTCCCCTGAAGGTGGTGTTACACAAAACCAGATACACACGTTGGTGCAAATTAGATGACAATTAGAAATAGGTAAATAAGTAAACAGAATGTGAACTTAGTGAGAAAGAATATAGGCAATTGTTTAGTAGGAACTGTACAAACATGCACCTACAGAGGTAATCGTAGAGAGTAATATGAGGTTATGGAAGTACTGAGAATGTAAGCAACTATGTACATAGGAATCCATGTAAAATCCAGGTTAAAATCTGGGTGTAGAATCAATGACCTCAATAAACAATGAAATGTATATTTTAAAACTACAGCAAAACGTGTGTCTGCGTGTGTCTGCATGCAACAAAACAGACCAACTACTCAATAAAGGTGAAAAAGATTACCACTGGTCCTAAAACATTAAAATGTATTATTATACATACAACACAGACAGGTCTTAAGGACATATTTAGCTTTTGCTGTCGTTACTGATACTGAGTAACAAACACTTAACACTTGGAAAACTGTCGATATTTTATTACTATCAGGTGAACGATGAGGCCAGCGGTGAAAGCCAGAAGGGAAATGACGTCATGTGTTTCCGTTTTTACAGCTGGCAGGTACAGCGGGGTTCTTTACATCACTGGCGATACTTACATTATAACATTTACCGATTCTGTTTGTGATTTCCAATAGTGCGTTTTCATTTTTTGTGCAACGACTAAGCGTTAGCAGGACAACTGCATTAATTTAAAAATGCAGAAACCGAACACAAAATTATCCATATACCCAAACATTATATAATAATCATGTTTTTTTAACAGTGCAACAAGATTATACTTGCCAACAATTAATTATACTAATAGTAAAACAGTGGTGTCGATATTTTCTTTCTGTCTAGCGTCAATATAGTAGCATAAACAATACGTTTCCATACATGTTGCCAACGTTTGTTTGCCGTCTATTTAATGAAAGACAAATCGAAGAGCTTTAACGATATTCAAACTTGCACTGTAATAACAGGATGCTACTTATATAATGAAAACGGTGGGTACATAGTGAGTACACACTTTGTATGCAGTATTGTTTATTGTTATGTGCACAACAAGCGAGATGGCAGGCTGGCTGGTTGACACATGGGGTGACATCACCACAGGTAAATGAAAACCAGAAAATGACATTAGAAAAACCTAACTGCGTTACTGCGTATACAGCCTCTACCCAAAGACAAATATTTGCTTAGTTTTGTGAAATGCACAGCTCCTACAAAGATATGAGTAGCTAGCCAAATGAACATTATTCTCACCTTGACTCGGACACGAACCACCCCCCTCTCTTCTTCAGCTGCCATGATGCGGCGTCTGCTCAGATGCTTAGCTGCGTTAATCCCTAACCGTTTTCACAAAAACCCACATTTACAGATATAACAGACGATAGGCTTTATTACATTTTCGTCCACAGCTGTTTGTCTCCGCCTGCCGCCCCATTCACCATTGCGCTCCCGGATGTGACGTCATGCGCATTACATCACCGAGGCTGCAGCGGTAATGCTTTGGAGGCGTTCAACTATACAATAAATTCAACGTCTGTCCACTAGTCCCCGTCTCTCGTTATTTGCATCCATCACATAACCAATTATATGAATTTCATTTTAACTAAACTGTCGATACGTCTAAGAAAAAATAAATGAATATTCTTTAAACTGGCACACTTTAGAGTATAACATCAAGAACCGACGTCTTCCTTACACTTAAATCACTAGTATTAAGGAAGTACTGAAAACTGGAGGATTTAGTTTACAAAAATGAATGGTACAGATAGCTTTGTTGTATTTTGTGAATTTGTTTATGGATTCAGGGCATGCGTTCATAAGTTTATAATTTATATATCCAACATAAACATCATAGCAGAGAGGAATTGTCATGTAAAGCCTACTTGAAAACATAGAGTGATTTACCACAGATACTCAGCTCTGAGTACTGACCACTAGACTATCACGGCGAGTTAGCATTACCTCATACATGCAGGTATCCAAAAGCTATTAATTCTCTTTAATTTACCACAAATTTAAAATGACTGACCATTTCCCTAAATACATAGCGTAGGAAAATCTTTGATTCGTGATACAGCAGTAGACATTTGTATCTGTTATATACAGTATCTCATCAGTAGGCACGGACACCACACAGCCATTCTGAAGAGCTTTTCATTTCCATCCCTGTCAAAAAATATTATGTGAAATAAAATGTCCAGGATTCTTGTTATGTTCACTATGTACTTGAAAGATAAGCGCGTGTGTTCTGTCAAAATGATCCTTTTTCACCAACCGTATTTTGTTGGTGCCTAAAAACATTCAACGTGCTGCGTGTATATAACTTAATATGTAATTTCACAGTCGTGTCATATATTTTACAAGTTACAGGCACAAAGATTCGTATTCTTCAGAATAATTTACGAATAAGAATGATTAAAAGGAACGATTAATTGTTGTCGCTACTCTGCGAAAACGTGTCGATAAATGTCAGTACACAACGGACATTCTTGGAAACCAGAAGAAAAAGTAATTTCTAATGATCACTGTATCTTACACATGCAAAGTTAATAAAAAAAACAATCCCCTTTGCCGTGGAAGGATGAGCATCCTGCCGTGACCCGGATTCGAACCGGGGTTGCTGCGGCCACAACGCAGAGTACTAACCACTATACGATCACGGCGAGCTACCAGGGACACGACGCCCCCACTAGCAAAAAGTGTATATCAGTGTTGCTTGCGTTATATTTGCAAGCGAGAAAATTTTATTTTGATAAGCATTAGTGTATAATGCGGTACTATACATGCAAAGCAAATAAATACTGAAATACGATAAACGAACAGTCTATTTTCCTTAAAACTTCACAATCCTTGATGTAATGCGAATTTGACAGAACAGTGATGATGTCATAACGTTGCCAGGTATCCGTTTCTGAAACGTAGATAATCGGTAATAAATTATATACAGAGTAAGGTGAAGCCTACGCTGCCACAGTGCAGTCCAACAGAGATAACGAAGGCTACTCGTAAATTTTGTTCAAAAGCTAAATATATGCTTCAGGTCAAAATATTTGTAACCCGTCGATCCATCCATCTATAGATAATTAGATTGCATACACAATTTTTATCCCTATACAGTTTTATAAACTTTCTTATTCTATGGTAAACGCATTTGAACTGTTCAAGTTACTTGGGAATGTTTTCATAAAGCAGTTTCCAAGTGAAAACAGTATTGTAAATAAATAGTTATGGATTACTTCTAAGTACCTGTTTCACGCGGGTCTTCTCCCGGCACCCGGTTTTCCTTGTTATAAATTGGATGGATGAACGGGACGGACAGTGGGTGGATGACTTAAAAATGCAATATAAAACATGCGTGATGCTAAAATCACGCTTTTGCTTGAATTTCCTATGCAGCAATTAAGAACTACTGTACTTAGAAGATGTACATAGAAAAAATACGATTACACAAAAGAACAAGCCGCTTTCACCTTTTGAGTGGATGGTCCAACGATGGTCTATCACCATCCATCTGATTTCAATAACCGCTTATCAAATAAGGGTTGTGGTGATATGTCGCCAGTTAGATCACTCTTAATTTAATTTTTGTGTCTGTGCATTGCGGGGTGCCATAGAAAATGCAATTTGAGAGCAGAGTGTACACCATGAGACCCTTTAAAGAAAAATATGTCTTCTGAAAAAAGAGGCGCATCCTTTAGGAACTGGGGAAAGTATAATCATCGTATAGGAGCACTTCATGTAATAAAGTGAAAAACAAAATGTAAGCATATTATTATAAAAATATACTATAACTAATAATGAGCAATCAAATATGACACCAAGCATCACGGAAGTAAAAAATTACTGCTCCAATTGATCAGAATGTATGAGTGTGTGTGTGTGTGTGTTTGGGTGGGAGGGGGGGGGGGGGGTCATGTGCATATTTCATTGTGGGAACCATATGCTATAACAAAACTAAAAACCCCAAAAGTCTTGTATTTTGTTTGGTTACTTAATGGTTAAGGTTAGGGCTGGGTAGGGGTTGAGGTCGTCATTGTGCGGATCTGGGTTCTTCCCCTAGAAACGAATGGACGGTCCCCATAAAGATATGAATACAAACATGTGCGTGCGTGTTGTTTGCGTGTGTGGAGGTGTGTAGATTTATATATACAAATTATTTTAAATATTCACAGTATACAAATAACCGTGGTTTTCCTCGTACTCGTAGACAACTCGTAGATTAACTTCAGCGGTCCTTACATCCTGGTGTGAAAGAAATATTATCTTAGAGCGCATACCTACCGTCCCTTGCACATCTGAACTTGGAAACAAGGGGGAGTGCTCTATCTCGACAATAGCAGGCGATCTCTGATTATGGGAAAAGAGTAATCCTATCGCTGCCGATTTGCCAGCTTCGCCGACACTGGGAGCTATATATCTCTTTAGGAGAGAAGACTGAATTCAGTGGCTTCAATGCCTTTGACAGCGTCTACAATGTTCGCAATAACTGCTGTGCGCGATTAGCTACAGATGTGGAAAGGCTGGATTAAAAATAGGGTATTTGTCTTTTGTGGTACCTTTCAGATAGCTACTTAGCCGGCCACTGTTAGCATATGAAGCTGTATATGAATGCGTTATTATGCAAAAAGAAGATTTATTTTTAAGCAATGATTCATGCTTTCTTTCGCTCTTCTTGTCGCGTGAAATCACATCCATGCAACATTAATTGCCTTGCTTGCTTGTTAGCTAGCTAGTTAGCCAGCCATATCTATTTAATGTCCATAGGGGACGATAAAGAAAGGAATCTGGGGTCGCATCATTTTTTAGTCGACAGAAAGTTCTTTTTACTTCCGAGTACAGGTTGAAAACTCTGTCAATGGCTTCAAATTCGAGAGTATCTATTCTGGATTACTTTAACATTGTCTTTGAGGGGGAAAATGGAAAGATTGAATCGAATTGCAAGGCTTGTGGAACCAGGATTCAGGCGAAACGGTCAGTAACGTCCAACTTCGTTACGCATCTGAAGGTAAGGGCCAGGGAGGCTGGCGGTGCAATATTGTATGATTCACATAGATACATTACTGCAGCTGCAAGGGATCCTCGCCTAGAGTGCCGCTTGACACATGTCATTTTTTGCATCTTTCTTGGCATAGAGATCTGCGAATCTGCTGCTGACATGCTAACTACTTAGCTAGACAGACGCAACGTTCAACATTTTGTGCATGTATTCCGACAAGGATTGACACTGCGCTTCAGAATGCTTTAACATTATGTTATGGAAAAGATTGTTATCGTTGCGTTGTGATGCAATTAAGATACAGAATTTAAATAGCTGAAACTGTACAAATGTATTCCATTAGCAAATGAGCTTTACTCAAGTTACCGGTGTAATACTGAGCGTAAGACAGTTTCTAATCAGTTTGGAAATATCTCCCCCTTTAAAAGGACAGTGTCTGCTTGTAGCCTTTTTGTAATTTTAATCTATTCTTTGATGGCAATCGTAATTGTTATGTGTCTGTGCAGCATGTGTCTTACCGTCTATGACCACAAGTAAGGAAGTTTCATGTAGATCTGTAACAAATGTGTTTGGAAATATTATTATATTCTTAAATCTACTATCAATTGATATATTTTCACCTATTCTTTTCTCATGCTGTAGCGCAAGCATCAGGCCATGTATGATGAGTTTGTGAAGAAGAAGGATGTGAAGAGGGAGGCCTGTGCTTCAGGGACGGTCCAGCAGCTGCATGGAGGGGGCCGCTCTGAAGCCGCTAGGTCATCTCACGTTGGTGGCGTTGTGGCTAAGTTTGACCGAAACGACCCCCGTCAGTTGCTTATCACAGAGGCCATTGCCAAAATGATCATCCGGGATCTGCAGGCGGTGCAGATCGTTGAGAACGAGGGCTTTAGGGAGCTGCTGCAGTTGCTGGAGCCCAGGTACACCCCAGAAACTTGCCTCTACATCCAGAAGCAGCTCCTCCCAGGATATTCCTATCAGGTCCAGTTGGCCACTAAGCAATCTCTGATTGCAGCTGAATCGTGTAGCATCACACTGGACCTGTGGAAGGGGGGCGTGGCCAGCAGCCTGGGCGGCTACCTGGGAGTGACCTGCCACTTCATCACTGCCGATTGGCAGATCCAGTCCGCCCTTCTCGCATGCATACCCCTTGTCGGGAACCATACGGCCCAGCAGGTTCTGTCGGAGTGTGATGAGATCTCCCATGCCCATGGCATCATGGGGAAAGTCTTCCGGGTCGTGGCCGATGCCTCCCCCTCTGAGAGCCGCGCTATGTTCCGCCTGCCTGGCTTTTGTTTGCATGGTGGTGAGCAAGATGAGGAAGAGGAAGAGAGCAGCGATGAGGATGTCATGGTTGGAGAAGCTAGCGAGGCCGGAAGGGCAGGCGTGGTGGATAGCTCTCTGGACCTGTGTTTCGGCGCTCATCGCATTGACTGTTTTGCCCGTTCCTTAGGACTCTGTGTGCGTGAAGGCCTGCGTACCTCCCCTCAGCTCTCCA